AGGGGAGCAAGGATGGCCGAGCGGTTAAAACGCCGGTCTATCACCGCTGTGGTCCTGGTTCGATTCCCGGTCCGGGACTATATGTGATTTGAGTTTGTAGGCTGGTTCTCTTCCTTGCTCCGAGGGTTTTTCTCCAGGTCCGCTGGTTTTCCTCCCTCAGTCAAAAACTAGCTGTGAGGAGTGTCGTGTTGTAAAATAATGAATGATGAGRTAGTGAGTATGAGTGGATATATAGAGGGMCACAGGTTTATTAGTCTAGAGACTWTTACGTGCTACCCTCTCAAAATAAAAGACTTTTATTTTTATTTATAGAGGAGGTCCTGATATTGTTTGGAAATAGTTTTTTTAAGTTTGATGTTGTGTGTCTAACATGTTTTACCGCCGGAATGGCCTTCGAAAATTTCGCTGGGGTTCAAAAAAAAAAAAAATGAGTTCCTGTTGTTTACATGTATTTCTAGATTATTTCTATGTAATTGATTACCTGTTTTCTCTTCCTAGAAATATAGCAATCAGTAGAACTACAATAATTACTAGTACAACAGCTGCACCGGCGACACCCCCAATGAATGCRACACCACTGTTGTCCTCGGAATCGTCATTTRCCCCTCCTATGTTATTGGGTGAGTCTGTTATCTGCAGAAAAAATGAATAAAAAAAACTTGATAATGATAATAATGAATTACATTACAGAGTTACAGAAAATAGTTTTCGATTAAAGTGTACTTTCTACGATTCTAAAAAATGGCAGAAACTTTTCCAGTGTTGCTGGGTGATCCTAACTTTGTTAGCATCAAACAAATATGTAGTAGCCAAACACCTCAGTTTGCTGTACTTACATACTCAGAAGTCGTAGATTCCACTACAGTTTCAGTTAGGCCTCGAATCGTCGAAGAAGTATGCATTATGGTTTGCGATGTAGAAGACTCGCGTGACGATGGATTTGTTGTAGGCTTTTCGGTTGCTGTTATTCTGTTTGTTGTTGTTCCTTCATTGTTGCTTGCTGTCGTTGCTCGTTCACTGCTGGTTGTCGTTGTTTGTTGCGTGCCGGTCGAGTGTTTTTGTTCATTATTGCTAGTTGTCGTTGTATCTACATTGCGTGGTTGCGTCGTTGTTGAACTCGTCAAAGAGGATGTTGATGGGGTTGAAGAAGATGGAGATTGTATCGTGGTGGTCGAAGAAGTCGAAGTTACTGGAGGAGCAGTAGTTGATGGGACAGCTGAACCTTATAAATAAACATAAATAATAGAATCTATACAATCATAAATATATGAACGTGTGCATGGGTTTTATCGAGCAGGTTCCACTGCTCTTTTCGCGGTTTTAAGGATGACTACTTTTTTCGCGGTTTTAAGGATGAAGGTAAGGATTCATCTGGCACAAACTGTTGGACTCTCTGAAAATGGATAACGCTTTCGACTTTAAAAACTTTGTCTGCCAAGGAAGGAAGTTCCAAAAGCCCTAAAACATGCTCTCCGCATGCCCCTATACTACCTTATGAAATAGATTGAGTGTGCATACAAAATGCTCTGAGAAAGCCTGCATAACAACACTTACAACTCTGCTTTCCTGTCACTTTTAACAAAACACAATGGCCGCTCATCTTCTCTTCGTTTGGATTAGGTAACTCRGCAGTACACTTCATGTTAATTTTGATAATATGTCCATATATCTGAGGGCTGTATTTGTCCAAGATGAGTTTACCTGAGTGCTAAATGAAAAGGATTATGAAGAGGTCTTTTATCTCTCCTATTTGTAAAGAGTTTGACATAACTGAATGACTTAGAAGTAAAATGATTCTATGTAATATTATGAAATAGC